TTTATAGTGCTTAGTTGTCTCTGCATGTGACTCCTAGCACTGCTAAAGCCATCTCGCAACCACCAGGAAAGATAACACAAACTTGTTGCACATAACTTAGAGAAAAGCACTTGGGTATCTGACGGTATTACTGAACTTATTATCAACAATGAAAAAATGCTGCCTCTGGGCTTCTTGTTAGATAATGTTATCTTGCTTTATGGTTTTAGCTTAAGCCATTCTTATTTGGGTATTGCTACTTGAGGGTCAAAGCATCTTAACTAATCTAGCTAGAAATACCTACTTACTTTAAACTATCCAGATTAGGAAGTCAGACCACTGCTAATTAGCAGACTCAACATTACCAGTGTCTCTATCTTGCTCCCTGATGCTTTGCTGACATGTGTTCACTAAGAAGGAAGCTCTATGTAATTACACTCACATTTAAGCTTCGAAGTAAAGACTATTTCTTCTGTTACTATTCTGTAATAGTCAAGGGCGAGGTACTTTTTGCTTCTCTCATGTATTTTTCAGTTACATCTGCTTTTTAACAGCATTACATGTAGACTCTAATTTTTATCTTACATTTCCTTTTTTATCCAATCTCCAACACCATATTGAAATCATGATTGAATGAAAACTTCCGAAGATAAAATGCTGAAGATAGAATAAAGATTTGCTTCTGCGGAGGTGCCCAAATTCACAACTTACACATAAGATAGTAGAGTAATCCTGAGACTAAAGTTTGAGAATTACTGTTCTACATACTAGATTATTTATTATAGCATGACTATTGCTGTAAGAAATTCGAAACAACCTACATATCAGTAAGAGATAGGTAAAAATAATTATGATGATTAATAAACAGAGCTGGCAATGCATGGAGTCTCCCTTCTATAATCCCGGCACTTTAGTAGGAGGCCAAGGCAGGAGGACCACTTGAGGCCAGGAATTCAAGACCAGCCTGAGCAACATAGAGAGAACTCATCTCTACCCAAAAAAAAAAAAAAAAAAATTAATTAGCCATTTAAAAATTACCATGACCCATACTCCCACCTTTTCAGGAGGCTGAGGAGGTAGAGTCACTTGAGCCCAGAACTCAAGGCTGCAGTGAGCTATGAAAATGTCACTATACTCCAGCCTAGAGGACAGAGCAAAACACTATCCCCATCCCCCCCAAAAAAAACTGAACGGTGAGACATCATTAAATAACTGAAGTGCTATTCTTATGTAAAAAAAAACAAAAAAATGACTCAGCATCTATAACACAGTGGTTACAACGCCAGCCAGGCCAGGTACACTGAGGGTGGCCAGTTCAAACATGTCCCAGGCTACCTAAACAATGACAACTGCAACAACAAAAAAAAAAACTAGCTGGGTGTTGTGGTGGGCACCTGTAGTCCCAGCTACTTGAGAGGCTAAGGCAAGAGAATTGCTTAAGCCCAAGAGTTGGAGGTTGCTGTGAGCTGTGATACCACAGCACTTTACCAAGGGCAACATAGTATGACTCTGTCTCAAAAAAAAAAAAAAAGAAAAGAAAAGAAAAAGAGAAACCAAAAAAATCTAACCTCAATTAAAAACAAAAAGATACACAGTAATAGGTGAGATCAGAATTTTACCTTAGCACAGTTAATTTTTTTCAAGTGTTGCTTGTGCACAGAAATTTTTTTAAGTGTAGCACAGTTAATTTTTAAGAGACCTCACATATTTCTTGCATAATATGCTTAAAGGGTAAATATTCTACCAAGATTTGCATGTTTACCTATAACATGGAAGGAACCCTTAAGCAAGAAGTGATAAGACTTTTGTTGACTGTTATTCAGGAATGCAGCAAAATGAAAAACTTAACCAAATCAGCTAAACAGAGGTAACTGACATTTATTAGGAAATGACTTTTTTTGTTTGTTTGCTTTTGTTTTTAAAAAAATATGAAACACTCCATGGGTTTGTGTGTCATCCTTGTGCAGAGGCCGTGCCAATTTTCTTTGTATCCAATTTTCGTACATGTGCTGCCAAAGTGAGCACACAAATGAAGTTTTTAAAAGGAGAAAAGATTGACTCAGCACCTGTAGCTCAGTGGTTAGGGCGCCAGCCACATACAGTGGGGCTGGCGGGTTTGAACCCTCCTGGGTCTGTTAAACAACAATGACAATATAACAAAAAAACAGCCGAGCATTGTGCTGGTACCTGTAGTCCCAGCTACTTGGGAAGCTGAGGCAAGAGAATAGCTTAAGCCCAAGAGTTTGAGGTTGCTGTGAGCTGTGACACCATGGCGCTCTACCCAGGGCGACAACTTGAGACTCTGTCTCAAAAAAAAAGGAAAAAAGACTACAAACGCTGAAGAGTCTGAATCTTTTTATTTCATAGAGTTTCTTTCTTCCCTTCTTTTTTTTGGAGACAGAGTTTCACTATGTTGCCCTCGGTAGAGTGCTGTGGTGTCACAGCTCACAAATAGCTGGGACTACAGGTACCTGACACAATGCCTGGCTTTCTTTTTTTTTTTTTTTTTTTTTGCTTATTACAAAATCATGCAATTAGAAAAAGTTTTCCTGAAAACTCTGGTATAATACCTTGAAAAACAACCTATTATGTACTATAATTACCAAGACTTGAAAAAAACATAACCAGGTGATATTTGTTTTCAACCAATTTGCTGTTTAAGTCAAACTGTTCTAATAAGATTGCTTTTAACTGAAGTATATGTTACCCTATTATTTTGAAACTATGGTCTTATTTATCTTGAAGCTTACATGTGCTGCTTCCTTAGTAGAGGGTTCCCTTCTAGCCCTACCTTCTTCTGGCTAATTAATGAAATACTAATTACCACTTGTGAACTAAAACCAATTAAAATTGGAAATACTGAGACCTGATAAAAATTTTAAGATTTTTATTTCCCTGTTTATTCAGAAAAAAGCAATCTCTCAAAAGAAAGCCAGAAAGACCCTGTTTAAAAAGTTAAATATCTGATTTGTGATATCATTTGTTTCATGATATCTTTTTGTCTATTAACAGATGAGGTAACTATGTCAAACATGAACTACTAGGCTTTATAGGAAAACAAAATTTTCATAACTTTTAAATTCTTTGTAACCCCAAATTCACAACTTACACGTTAAGATAGTAAAGTAATCCTGAAAGTAAAATTTGAGAACTGTTTTAGTGTGTACTAGTGATTGCAACATTATTTTAACTGCAAGAAACTGGAAACAACCTACATATATATCAAGGAGAGACTGTTGGAAACAACATACGTATCTATCAAGAAGAAACTGGTAAAAATAATTATGATGCACCCATACAATGAAATACCATTCAACAGCAAAAAAGAATGAGAAGCATTAGGCAAGAAAATGAAATAAAACACATTCGGATTAGAAAAGAAGACGTAAAACCAACCCTATTTGCAGACGACAGTTATCTTACATATAGAAAATCATAAGGAATCTACTAAAATAACTATCAGAACTAATGAGTTCAGTAAGGTTGAAGCATATAAAATCAATATACAATAAATGATTATATTCCTATACACTTACAATGAACAATGTGAAAATGAAGTTAAGAAAACAATTCCAAGCCAGGCACATTGCCTCACACCTGTACCCCAATTACTCTGGAGGTGAGGTTGGAGGATCACTTGAGCCAGGAGTTGGAGGTCAACCTAGGCAATAGAAAAAAAGAAAAAAGAAAAAAAAGCCTACTTACAAGAGCATCAAAAAGAATAAAATACTTAGTAACAAATTTAATAAAGGAAATACAAAACCTTTTTTATTAATTGATTACACATTTTATTTTGGAATCACAGGCTAATCCCTTAAAATTTTAAAAGCCAATTTTCCTCTAAAACATTCAAGCCAAATATACACAAGTTTGTAAACCCAGAGTATTACTGTTGCAGCCTAGATTCTCTTGAATTCCATGCTTGATTCCAAACTGCTCTTGAGTTGAAATATGCTCACCACCAAGGAAACAATCTTGTTAATCTTTTTTGGAAAATTTTTTGAAATTGCCATCACAGCTTGCTTGCTGGGCTCTTTAGGAGTGCAAAACTTACACTCTATAATTTTTTTTTCACCTTTTCGCCCTTGGTAGAGTGTCATGGCATCATAGCTTACAGCAACCTCAAACTCTTAGGCTTAACCGAGTCTCTTGCCTCAGCTTCCCAAGTAGCTGGTACTACATGTGCCTGCCACAATGCACAGCTATTTTTCTAGAGAGGAGGTCTCACTCTGGCTCAGGCTGGTCTCAAACCCATGAGCTCAGGCAATCCACCAGCCTCAGCCTCCCAGAGTGCTAGGATTACAGGCCTGAGCCACTACACCCAGCCAAAAGGTATAATATTGTTAAAATGGCACTAATTCCCAAATTGATCTACAGATTCAACATAATCTCCATCAAAACTCCAGCTGACTTCTTTGCAGAAATTGACAAAATGATCTTAAAATTCATACGGAAATTCAAGGGACAGAATCTAGAAAAACAACTAAATTGGAAGGCTCATATTTCCCAATCTCAAAACTTACTACAAAACTACAGTAATCAAGACAGTGTGGTACTGGCATAAGGACAGACTTATAAATAAATGGAAAAGAACTGAAAAGTCCAGACCCTCACATTTACTTATTTATTTGAGACAGAGTCTCACTTTGTCACCCTCAATAGAGTGCTGTACCATCACAACTCACAGCAACCTCAAACTCTTGGGCTTAAGCAATTCTCTTGCCTCAGCCTCCCAAGTAGCTGGGACTACAGGTGCCCACCACAACGCCCGGCTATTTTTTGGTTGCAGTTGTCATTGTTGTTTGGCAGGCCTGGGCTGGATTTGAACCTGCCAGCTCCAGTGTATGTGGCTGGTGCCCCTAGTTGCTAAGCTACAGGTGTCAAGCCTAGGTCAATTTATTTATCATAGTATGTGAAGACAACTGAATGAGGAAGAAATAGCCTTTTGAACAAATGATGCCAGAACAACTGGATATCCATGGATGCATAAGCATGAAGTTGGGCCCGTGAGGTGGCTCAAGCCTATATTCCCAGCTACTCAGGAAGTTGAGGCAAGAGGACTGCTTGGGTCCAAGAGTTTGAGGTTGCTGTGAGCTGTGACGCCACAGCACTCTACCAAGGGCAACAGAGTAAGAGTCTGTCTCAAAAACAAAAAAGAATGTATACAAAAATCAACTCAAAAATAGATTAAAGACCATTTAGCTTTTAAATGTAAAAGTTATAAAACGTTTAGAAGAAAACACAGGTGTAAATCTTCACGAGCTCCACTTAGGAAATGACTTCTTGCCTATGATACCAAAACATAAACAGCAAAAGAAAACATTTATGAATTAGACTTAGCCAAAATTAAAAACTTTTGTGCTTCAAAGACATCATCAAAAATGTAAAAAGACAACTCAAAGAAGGGAAAAAAACACTTGCAGATCATTTATTTGATGAGGGACTTATATCTAGAATATATAAAGAACTCTTACAACTCAACAATAAAAAAACAAATAACCCAACATAAAAATGGGCAAAGAATCTGAATAGACATTTCTCCAAAGAAGATAAACAAATGGCCAGTAAGCACACGAGAAGATGTTCAACATCATTAGCCACCAAGCACAGTAAATACCACTCCATATCCACTATGGATGATTATAATCAAAAAGATAACAAGTATTGGTAAAGAAATAGAAAAATTGGAACTTTCTTTTTTCTTTTTTTTACTGAGTCTCACTTTGTCACCCTCAGTAGAGTGTCATGGTGTCACAGCTCACAGCAACCTCTAGCTCTTGGGCCTAGACAATTCTCTTGCCTCAGCCTCCTGAGTAGCTGGAATTATAGGCGCCGCCACAATGCCCAGCTATTTTTTTGTTGCCGTTTGGCCGAGGCGAAGTTCGAACCCACCACTCTCAGTGTATAGGGCTGGCGCCCTACTCCCTGAGCCACAGGCGCTATCCCCAAAATTGGAACTTTCATACGCTGCTGGTAGGAATTATTAACAAAATGATATAGCCACTGTGAAAAAGTTTTGCAGTTTCCCAAAAGGTTGAACACAGGGTTACCATTCCTCAAAGAACTGAAAACGTGGGGTTGTGCCTGTGGCTCAAAAGGGTAAGGTGCCAGCTCCATATGCTGGAGGTGGTGGGTTCAAATCCAGCCCTAGCCAAAGGAAAAAAAAAATTAAAAGCTGTTTTTTAAAAAAAAAAGAACTGAAAACGTATGTTCACAAAAAACTTGAACAAGAATTTCCTAACAGTATTATTCATAATAGCCAAAGAGTGAAAACAACCCAAATATCCATCAATATGATAAGTGGATAAACAAAATGTGTAATCCAATGTAAATACATATAATGAATTATTATATTGCCATAAAAAGATGAAGTATTGATATATGCCACATGGATAAACCTTTAAAAAATTATGCTAAGTGAAAGATGACAGTTACACAGGACCAAGTACTATACAATTTCATTTATATGAAATGTCAGAATAAACAAATCTAGCAAGGCAGAAAGTAGAATGTATAACCTTTTATGTTATGAACTATGATGCCACAGCACCCTCCCAACAAGTGGGTTTCTCAAAAAAAAAAAAAAGAATGCATAACCTTTTCAAATGATTTTTAAATGACTGTTATTCATGTATCGATAAGCTATGTCTTTCTAAATCCTCACATTCTCCTTTTTTTTTTCTTTTGAGACAGAGTCTTACTATGTCACTCTAGGTAGAGTGTCGTGGCGTCACAGCTTACAGCAAACTCAAACTCTTGGACTCAAGCAATTTTCTTGCCTCAGACTCCCAAGCTGCTGGGACTACAGGTGCCCACCATAACACCTGGCTATTTTTGTTGTTGTTTATTTAGCAGGCCCTGGCCAGGTTTAAACCCACCAGCCCCAGTACACATGGCTGGTGCCCTAACCACTGAGCTATGGGCCCCAACCTCTAACATTCTCCTCTTAAAATATATTCAAAAGCACCTGAAAAGCATGTTATGGATTAAGAACAGACTTGGTAGAATGCCATGGCATCTTAGCTCATAGCAACCTCAAACTCTCAGGTTCAAGAGATCCTCTTGTCTTAGCCTCCCAAGTAGCTGAGACCACAAGTGCCCACCACAACACCTAGCTATTACAGGGTCTCACTCTGGCTCAGCCTGGTCTCAAACCTGTGAGCTTAGGCAATCCACCAGCCTCTGCCTCCCAAGTGCGGGGATTACAGGCATGAGCCAGTGCGCCCAGCCCAAACCTGAAATTTTAAAGCAGCTAAGGAAGGAAAACTCATATATAACCAAAAGGCAGAGAACTGATTTGTTAATGTTGAACGCTACCAAAATGACCAAAATTACCTCCAAACTAAATTTTAGTCTTCTTTTGAACTGTAAATTACTATGAATAATTAAACTTAAATTTGAAAATTATATGTATATTTTATAAAAAGCAATTATAAATGTAAAACTAAAACTTATTAAACTATGCCAGCAAATAATTTTAAACTAAATGGGACAAACAAATTAATTCTTGGGATAGTAGAAACAGTCTAACTTTGGAGTTAAATACACGAGTTTGAATCTTTTAGCCTACTAACCAACTAGGTGATCATCAACAATTTACTTAGTGTCTGTGGGCCTCAGTCTCCCCTTCTAGTAAATTAGGAACTATAATACATTAGTGTGAAAAGAAATATTCCAACTATTTACTAAGTGGAGGAAGAGTTGGACAATTTCACTGTTTTTTTAAACTT